GCTGTCAATGCTCCACCCATATTCCCCATGTAAAAATGGTGGAGGCAGAGGCGTCTGACCTCCTCTAACTTCACAAGTGGGGAGGAAAATCATTATCAGCATCAACAAGGCTGATTTCTATGAGGGGGAGGTCAGACATGCCTCCAACCTTCAGCCTTTTTACCAATTCTGATAGCAACTGTCTCTCCTACTGCACTCTCTACTTCTCTACTGGGTTGGATAATTGGTTGCAATGGCCACACAGAACTCACAGACCATACACACAGTTATGGGGCCTATTAGGGAAGAACAGGTTACAATTCAGGATCAGAAATGACTCAGGATACGGTTTCTTTGATCAGGGCAGCATCTTCTCAGGCATGACCGCAGGCATGCTTCTCTCTGGCTCTCAGCCTCTCAGCCCTTCAGCATAGCATCTGCCCTGCTCAGGCAAGTGTTACAAAGCTCTTTTAGCTCTGTTGAGAAGTGCTCAGAGGCACCTTACTCCACCAGTAAGTCTTGGCCAGAAGGCACTCAGTTCTCTCATTCCATGGGCCTGGAAACTCACCCTACCATCTCCTTCTGGTCTCCTGCTGGTCTCCTGGTCCTGCTGCCTCTGCTGCCGCCATTTCTCTGTCACTGCTTCACGCCATCTCTGGCCATCTCCAGTGTTACAGCTCTTTCTCTGTCTCCTGGATCTAGGAGTTTCTCAGTGCAGGGATCCCGAGTCCAAAGGATGTGCTCTGCTCCCTGTTTTTCTTCTTTGGTAATAGTGGGTCCCCCTCTTCTGCATCTGGGATTGCTCATTTTAAGCCCAGTGGGATGGCAAAACTGACCAATCCCCTTGTTAGGGTTCCATCCACCTTATTTGCATGGTGCCATCTCCACAAGGATGTCATGTACCCTATTCGCATTAGCAGCAAACTGTCCAATCCCCTTGGTGGGCCACAAGCACCTCATTTGCATAGTCCCACCCAATCATTGGGCAGAAGGTACAAGACCCTGGTGAGAAAAGCCATATAAAAGCAATCCATCTCACCACACCCCCAGATTTTTTTTTTTAACCATTGTTAGGCATTTTAGATCATGGGTGTTTTCACTTTCCAAAAAGAACGCTTGCATCTCTTTGTTGGAGAACTGCCTGAGGGAATCCAAAGTGTCTTTGAATTTAAGTATTCCAGGGCCATCCCTTTACCAATGACTGCTGTTTGTGTGAGAATGAATATCTTGACTTCCTTGCCTCCATGAGAATCCCTGGGTGGTGCCCTCAGCTGCTAACTAAAAGGTTGGAGGTACGAGTTCACCCAGAGGCACCTCAGAAGAAAAGCCTGGCAATCTATTTCTGAAAAATCAGCCTTGAAAACCATGTGGACCTCCTTTGCCATGAAACCAGAAGAACTGGATGGTGCCCAGCACACAGCTACCATTACTGAACATTTTGATCAAAGAGTCTATAGAAGAATTTTGATCAAAAGGGGGAAAGTGCAGAACAGAGTTTCCAATTTTCATGGATTCCATATTTTCTGAAGTATAGAGGCTGGATGAACCCCTGAAACTATTGCCCTGAGATAATCTTCAAATCTTAAACCAAAAATGTCCCCTGAAGTCTTCTTAAAACCAAAAAATAATTTAGCTTAACTAGTAAAAATGTCTGCCTTGAGCGTTATGCTCTTTTAAGAACTATCTGTATGAGTTGACAATAGCAGCTCGAAAGATTAGACGGGGGGTGGGGCAGTGAGTTTATGTTAATGAGGGAGGAACAACTCAGGGAAGGAAGGTGAGAATGGTTGCACAACTTAAAGAATGTAATCAATGTCACTGAATTGTACATGTAGAAACTGTTGAGTTGGTGTGTGTTTTGCAGTATATATTCTCAACAGCAACAACACAATAAATAATAATAATAATAAAACCCTATGTAACACAGTTCTACTCTGACACACATGGGGTCCCCATGAGTCAGAATTGACTCAGCAGGCAACTGGATTTGCCTCCCTGAGCTGTGGCCTTCGCAGTTTCCAGAATTGAGGAAATCTGAGGGACTTTCATATCCCACTCTTGTTAGGTCTATTTCTATTCCTATACCTGCCTCCCCAACCCCCTAAAATGTCATTTTCACACTAATCCTTATCTAAGAGTTTGCATCTGCTGAAACCAAATGCAAGAAACCAAATCAAAAGGGACAATTCCATCAGTGCAGCCCCATGGATGTATGAAAGCAGGGCAGGCATGGGTATTCCTGGATTATCAAGGCCCCTAATAAAAGCAGAGAAGCAGCAAACCTTGCCTTGTCCTTTCAATTCTCTCTCCTTACAGCCCACAGTTCCCTTTGCACAGCCATTCTCTAAAAAGGAGAAGTTAATTTTTGCTACAGAGGGCCCCATAACTAACTGAACTGGGCTCACTCTGTGATGTCCACATACCCTGGATAAATTTCACATCATTTTTACAAATTGCCAAAACAAACTACAAAATATCTAAAATCTTGGTCTGAGGGCACAGGTATCAGAAAGGAAAGTTGGTCTTGAGTCAAAGCTAGGCGACAGAATTCACAATCAGTCTGCATAGCAATTGAATATAGGTTCCCTTCTGGCAGCTTTGAAGCATACAAATACAGGCTGGGGACATCATACCTGTGCTTAAAGATATTTTACTATGTTTCAAATTGTGATGGAATAAATTAGAACTCAAAAAGTAGGTTTTAAGAAATTGTACATACCCCCACCAAACCAAAAACAAAACCCATTGCCGCCGAGTCATTCTGACCGTATAAGACAGAGTAGAATTGCCCCATAGGGTTTCCAAGGCTGTAATCTTTACGGAAGCAGACTGCCACATCTTCCTCCCGTGGAGCTGCTGGTGGTTCAAACTGCCAACCTTTTGGTTAGCAGCCAAGCATTTAACCACTGTGCCACTAGCAGCCAAGCACTTAACACACCCACTAGTATGGCTATAATAAAAAAAAAAATTGGGAAATAACAAGTGTTGGAGAGGATGTAGAGATATTGGACCCACACACATTGCCGGTGGAAATGTAAAATGGTGAAGCTATTTTGGAAACCAGTTTGGTGGTTCTTTAAACCATTAACATAGAATTACCATGTGACACAGCGATTCAACTCCTAGGTATATACCCAAAAGAATTGAAAACGTATGTTCACACAAAAACCTGTACGTTAATACTCAAAGCAGCATTCTTCAAAACAGCCAAAAAGTGAAAACAACCAAACTGAAGGAAGATTATGAGTTGCTGAAAGAAAAGATGAGTAAGCGTTTATTCATCTATTCATCAGCTGATGAATGGATAAACCAAACGTGGAATATTCATACAATGGAATATTATTTATCCTTGAAAAGGAATGGGGTACTGATACATGCTACAACATGGATGAACCTTGGAAACGCTACACCAAGTGAAAGGTTTCAGACACAAAAGGCCCCATATTGTATGGTTCCATTTCTATGAAATGTCCAAAATAGGTCAACCCAGAGAAATAGAAAGTAGATCAATGTCTGTGTAGGCCCTGAGTTGGGGGAGGTGAGGGAGAAAAGGGAATGATTGCTCATAAAACCAAACCCCTTGCTGTCTAGTGGATTCCGACTCATAGCGACCCTGTAGGACAGAGCAGAACTGCCCCATTGGGTTTCCAAGGAGTGGCTGGTGGATTTGAACTGCCAACCTTTTGGTTAGCAGCCTGAGCCTGAGCTCTTAACCACTGTGCCACCAGGGCTCCATGATTGCTAATAGATATGGAATTTCATTTTAGGGTGATGAGAATGTCTTGGAATTAGATGGTAGTAATACTTGCACAGTCTTGAGAATATGCTAAATGCCACTGAATTGTACACTTTAAAGACTGAATTTATGGTATGTGAATTATATCTCAATAAAAAAAGAAAGAGGCTTCTCTTCCTTTTCGCCCTCATACCTCTCTACATCTCTAGCCTGATTTCTTATATTCCTTGCTCCTCTACTCTATCAGATTTCAGATCTTTCCAAGAAAAAATTCCTGGCATGAATTGCGTTCATAGAGCTGAAGCAGCAGTTATTTCCTAAGCCTGCTAATAATGAATAAAAATGTTTTCCAAGACGAATAATTATCTTGCAAAACCACTTTGGAAGAGTATACCAGCATAGATTCAAACAACAACTCTTTTCCTGTTATAATTTTGGCTCTTTAAAGTAGATTACAGGAAGATTATGAGTTGCTGAAAGAAAGGATGAGTAAGCATCTAGATGCCAATGTATATCAGCCAATTGGCCAAATCTGGATGCGCTCCTATTTCAGCCTGTAACTGCCATATTGTCTAATTTTTATGAGAATTTCCGAGGACAGAATTTCAGTCAATTCTTCATGGAAGAGCCACATCAAAGAAAAAGAATTTAAATATTCATCTATTTTTTTTGAGAACTTCAAAGGTTTAGCACACCCCTGATCATACATAAGAGTTTCTGGGTGGTGAAAACAGTTAAGCCCTGGGCTACTAACCCAAAGATTGGCGATTTGAACTCACCCAGAGGTGCTCAGAAGAAAGGCCTGGCAATCTACTTCCCAAAGGTCTCAGCCATGAAAACCCTACGGAGCGCAGTTCTGCTCAACACATGGGGTCGCCAGGGGTCCGAATTGACTCTGTGGCAACTGGTTTGTTTTTGTTTTGTTCTGATCATACATACTCCCAAAGTACCTGGACTCCATGGGTCCCAGCCCCCCTCCCCAAACCAGTCGCACAAACTCACCTACACTCTTCACAAAACTCCACCAGAATTTTTCATTATGTAAAATGGTAGATGATGTACTCTGTGCTATTTTTTTCAGAATCAAATTTACTTACCAGCTTTTTCAGAGCCTGGAAGTGCCTGAGAGGTTATCTCCCTGACAAGGCAATGGTTTCCTTCCAAATATCATTAAGATTCTGCTTGTGCACATTAAGCAAAGGGGAGCCCCCTGGCCCACGAGGTACTCCATGCTGTGTGTAAATAAATCTAATTGGCAAAAACACGTCCTTGCTAAGTATCTTACCTATTTTTAGTGGCGGAGCTCCGTATCCGGCATACGGATCTAGGAAACAGGATGCAAGAAGAGGAGTCACAACGATTCTAACAACGACATAAGCTGCTAAATTTTTATAATTTGTTTTGCAGCAATAGATTACTAATACAATGCCTTTCACAGTTATTCTCCATCGATGATGAGCTTTTTCATAATTTAATATCTTGTTCTTGCTTTTTTCTGTCTTCTAAATGAGAATGTAAGCTTCTCATGATCAGAGACCTGGTCTATCTCAGTCACCACTCTATGCCCTGGATGTAGCTAAGTATCTGGATTTGTAGGAGGAATGGACAGTTATCTTGTGCCAGATGCTTTTAATTCATTTTCTTCTGCAAAAGGAGCATTCATAATCCCATTTTTCGATAGCTAAGGAGTAGAACAATAAGGTGAGTTGCAAAGTGGCATAAGTCTGTATATGGAAGGCCGACCTGAAAAATGAATCTCTGACAACTGGCACCATAGCTTGTCTTCTGAAATAATGGTGCAGAGACAAGCAACATAAAACGGCGAAAGACAGATGCTGCATGGAGATTGTCAAGGAAATGAGGAATGCCAGGAAGAATGCTAGAAAACCTGAGACAAGTCATTTTCCCCTAGAGCAGTTGGAGAGAGCATTCTCCTAGAGTTGGTGCCCTGGATTCAGACTTCTAGCCTCCTCAACTGTGAGAAAATAAATTTCTGTTCTTTAAAACAACCCACTTGTGGTATTTCTGTTGCAGCAGCGCTGAGAAAGTAAGACGGGGGTAAATTACTTAGCATAGAGACTGGAACATAGAAAGTGCTGGATAAGTGTTGAATGTTAGTATTATCATTCCATACCCTCATCTTGCACCCCAGATTTCTGGGTTGTTGCTGGGGAAGGAGCCCAAGTATGGGATATTCCACTGATAATATACACAGCTGTAGTTGCCGCTGTCATGGCTTGTCACAGTCCAGAGCATGAAATTAGTTTGGTTTTTTTCCTACTTTCTCACGTGTAATGGCTCTGGGTGCCCTGATTTCAGCAGAGCAATAGCCATACATTCAGTTCCATTGTATGGAATCTGACATTGAAGTGTCACACGAAGACCTGGGATCGTCTCAGGGTCCATGATGATGGAGACGGAAGGTCTCAGGGGTGATGTTATAGAGGACAAGGCAATGGAGGTCCAGGAAAGGGCCAGGGCATCTCCTTCCCCACTGCACCTGGAGACTCACTCATCCATCTCTCCCATATTCATACCTTTGAAACTCACTCCAAATCTCCATGGGAGACTTGTCCCCACACTCTGCCTCTATTTCCCCAATTCCCTACACTGAAGCTGTTGCATCCGCCATTTTGTTTCCTAGTGATAATGTTGACTTTTACCTGAATCCTGTGATACTGGAAAACAGTGATGGTTAAAGAAATCCCCTCACCCTTCGTGTTCATGAAAATGGCTTACTCCACCCTTCCCATATGACTTAGATGAGACTCACGGATGCCTCCCTGTTTACCTAGGACAAGGCCAGACACAGACCCTCCAAATTCCCATTCCTTGCCTCATAGATGAATAACTGAATTGCTTGTCCCCATTAATCAATCAGAAAAAGAGTGTTGTTAACCAAATTTTGGTTAAGTTTCTCTCCTTTCTCCAAATCTCTGAAACTTTGGCCCACCCTCAGCCTGAACCAACATACTAATAAACCAGTTGCCATTGAGTTGATTCTCACTCATGGTGACACCACGTGTGTCAGAGTAGAACTGTGTTTCATGGCATTTTCAATGGCTAATATTTCGGAAGTAGATCACCAAGCCTTTCTTTTGAGGTACCTCTGGGTGGACTCAAACCAGTAACCGTTTGGTTAATAGTTGAGTTCTTTAACCATTTGCACCACCCAAGAACTCTGAGCCAACACACTACCCCTCTTTAAGGGTCCCTCCAGGAGAATGCAAACAGTTAATGGGCTCTGCTGCTAACTAAAAGGTTGACATTCAGATCCACTCGGTACCACCTCAGAAGAAAGTCTGGAGATCTACTTCTGGAAAATCAGATGTTGCAAACCTTATGGAGCACAGTTCTACTCTGACATATGTAGGGTCGCCATGAGTAGGAATTGACTCCATGGCAACTACTTTGGCATTTTGTTCTTTTTTCTGGAGAGAATAGGTTACCTTAGTGTAAAACATTCTGATTTACTATTCAGTCATGTCACTCTTTCATCCTACTTTCCCACACCTGGGTTTTTTCTAGCCTTGTTTACTTACAGTCTCTATAACAGAAAATGCTTTTACCCTAACTCCTTGAGACACTTGTTGATCTTATGGTCAGAGTGTTCTCTCTATTACAATGCTCCCCCCCACCCCATTGTAATAGTTCCTTTCCCCCTTTCTTTCTGAACAAAGCCTTTCTTCATCAAAGTCAGATTTGTTTTTTATTCAACACTAGATTCCTTCTTCCCCCAGCCAGGTACCATCACAGGGAAGGGAAGGGAATACACGTGTAAAAGAGCTTCCCTCTCACCTGTGACCACGAGATGTAGACATTCACTCTCTGACCATCCTTGGAAGGCCGTTGTCTTGTAGGTGCAAAAGTAAGTCCCAGAATCCTTAGGCTTCAGGTCAATAAGGAGGAGTTCAGCATTGTTTCCCGCTGAGCTCAGCTGTTGCTTGGGCCCAGTGTCATTCAACTTCCCCAGCCTAAAGGTAGTATTCTGGAACGGAGACCTGCACTTCAGAGTCACGTTGCTTTTGCTTTCAACTACTGGGCTGGGCCAGGCCATGAAGACGGGCTTGGGAAGTCTTTCTGGAAAGAACTCAGAGTTAATGTCCATCCACATATGAACAGATAAACAAAATGTGGAGCATACTGTTAAAAAAATATTCTGATAAGGTTAATTTTACAGACTTGATTTGGTTTTGAAAATATCCGTGGATGGAAGCATATCTCCCAGCAAAACCTAAGAGGTACCTCCCTGAACAAAAGCAAGCTGAGAGTTTTTATTGAAAGCAAAGGGCAGAGAGAGAGACCAAGAAAAGGAAAAAGGGAACAACGTAAAACACTCTTCATATTTTTTTTTTGTAGTTTAGTTTATTTTTCTATTGTTGTTGAGAATATACACAGCAAAACATTCACCAATTCAACAGTTTCTACGTGTATAATTCAGTGACATTGGTTACTTTCTTTGAGTTGTGCAACCATTCTCACCTTCCTTCTCTGAGTTGTTCCTTCCCCACTAACATGAACTCACTGCCCCCTAAGTTTCCTATCTAATCTTTTGAGTTGCTGTTGTCAGTTTGATCCCATACAGGTAGATCTCAAAAAAACACAATGCCCAAGGGAAACATTCTCTACTAGTTAAACTAAACTATTGTTTGTTTTCAAGAAGACTTAAGGGGATATTTTGTTGTTGTTGTTGTATTTAAGTGAAAGTTTACAATTCAAGTTAGTCTCTCATACAAAAATTTATACATACATTGTTATGTGACCCTACAGCACACTCCTCCTTTCCACCCCTGATTTCCCATGTCCATTCAATCAGCTCCTGACCCTCTCTGCTTTCTCATCTCATGTCTGGACAGGAGCTGCCTGTTTAGTCTCATGTATCTACTGGAGCTAAGAAGCACACTCTTCACAAGTATCATTTTATGTCCCATAGTCCAGTCTAATCTTTTTCTGAAGAGTTGGCCTCAGGAATTGTTCTAGTTCTGGGTTGTCAGAGGGTCCAGGGGCTTTCCAGGGTTCCTCCATTCTCAGTCAGACCATTAAGTCTGGTCTTTTGACTAGAATTTGAGTTCTACACCCCACCTTTCTCCTGCTCCATCAGGGACTCTCTGTTGTGTTCCCTGTCAGGGTAGTCATTGGTGGTAGCCGGGCACCATCTAGTTCTTCTGGTCTCAGGATGATGCAGTCTCTGGTTTATGTGGCCCTTTCTGTCTCTTGGGCTAATACTTTCCTTGTGTCTTTGGTGTTCTTCATTCTTCCTTACTGCAGGTGAGTTGGGACCAATTGATGTATCTTAGATGGCCACTCACTAGCTTTTAAAATCCCAGACACCACTCACCAAAGTAGGATGCAGAACATTTTCTTAATAAACTTTGTTATGCCAATTGACCCAGATGTCCCCTGAAATCATGGTCCCTAGACTCCCACCCCTGCTACTCTGTCCCTCATTCAGGGGATATTTTTGGTTTAAAGTTTCAAATTATCTCAGGGCTGTAGTTTCAGGGGTTCATCCAGCTTCCAGAAAATAAGGAGTCCATGAGAATTTGAAATTCTGGTCTGCATTTTCCCCCTTTTGATCAAGATTCTTCTATAAAATCTTTGATCAAAATGTTCAGTAATGGTAGCTGGGCACCATCCAGTTCCTCTGGTCTCACAGCAAAGGAAGCAGTTGTTCATGGAGGCAATTAGCCACACATTCCATTTCCTCCTCCTATTCCTGACTCTCCTTCTTCCTCTGTTGATTTAATATATCATCAGGTTATGCAGAGAAAAAATGTGCAGAAGCCTAAACATTTAAACTTATCAATTCAACAAAGTCTGTTTAATGTCTGAATTAACGCTTCTGAGCAAACAGACAAATCAAAACATGTATGCCATCAGAAATGTTTTGTGCATACCAATGAATCCAGAGGAGATAAGAATTTCAAACAGGGGACTTTCCTAGATGGAAGCATCTAAGCCTCTTTAACTCTTTCTAAGAACCTTTTTTAACTCCAGCAATTCTGGAGAATACAATACAAATTCAACAATATACACAATGGAATATTACTCAGCCATAAAGAGAAATGAGGTCCTGATAGGTGCTATGACATGGATGGACCTTGAAAACGTTATGTTCAGTGAGATAAGTCCGTCACAAAAGGACAAATATTGTATGATCTTACTTATTCAAAATAACAAGAACAGCCAAATATTCAGAAAACAAAGTTTATTAGTGGTTACCAGGGATGGGAGGGAAGAGAAACGGGGAGTCATTGTTTAGGAAGCAGTGAGTTTCTGTTGATGGTGTTGGAAAATTTGGTGATGGTTGCACATGACTCATGTAATTGATACCATTAAATCGTACACCTGAAAAATGTTGAAGTGGCAAATGTTGTGTTATACATATTTTTATACTAAATTCTACTTTCTCATCCCTTTCTTTCATACGTTTGACATCTCCATCCCTCTCTGAAAGATTTCGCTGGTCAATTCTGCTTCCTCTTTTCTTCATCCTTTACTGTGCCTTATCATCTGCTTCCTGGAGGACCCAACGGACACACCTGGACTTCAAGTGTGAGCCACACACTGTAGGTACTTCAGGTACTCCATGTTACTTTTATGTCCCTGCTGGTATCTTGTTCTGTAGTCAATGACAAACCATTTCTCTCCCCTGAGAATTCATAAAAGAGCCCTTGTGGCACAGTGGTTAAGCACTAGGCTGCTAATGGAAAGGTCAGCAGTTCAAACCCACCAGCCGCTCTGCAGGGGAAAGATGTGGCAGTTTGCTTCTGTAAAGATTACAGAAACCCTATGGGGAAGTTCTAATTTGTCCTCTAGGTTCACTGTAAATCAGAATCGACTCAACAGCAATGAGTTTGGTTTTGGTTTTGGGCTGAGTCTTCATAAGGAATAATCTTACAAATGAAAGTGATCCTTGGGATGATTGGGGTGAACATTCTAGAATTGTGGGTTAGAGCTAATTTGACTCTTCATCTTGATGACCATAAAGACCTTTCAAGAATCCAGAGGGTTAAATAAAGGGGAAAGGTCATAAAACTTAGGATGTGGGAAATAATTGAGTTTAAATGGGAGAAAACTCACCATTCATTTTCTCATCTTCAAAACCCAGACACAGCCCTGTAAGAGAAACCTCAATGAGAGACTAATCACGTGCTTGTCTTGGAAGTACAACTAAAGCAGACAAAGCATGACTAGTTTGTTAAAGAAATGTCATATTCTTTGCAGTTATTTCCCCAGATTTACCTTTTACTTTTGTCCCCTTGTTTCTTATTTGGAAGTTGTTAGGTTTATATAGAAAATTCCCACCATCTTTTCTAATTTATTGTATTGTTTTCATGATTAGGTTTTCTTTCACCATCTAGAAATTGTTCAACATTTGCCTATACTTCTTTCTCATATTTGTTGTGATTTTAGCTTTTACCCTTACCGCTTAAATAATGCAAAGTTAAGTTTACTGTGGACTGTGAGGGGAGAGTTTTGTCATTCAAACAAAGAGAATTGATTCTTCCTGACCTGATATTTAAGAAGCCCTGGTGGCACAGTGGTTAAGAGCTTGGCTACTAACCAAATGGCCAGCAGTTTGAATCCACCAGCTGCTCCTTGGAAACTATATAGGGCAGTTCTACTCTGTCCTATGGGGTCGCTATGAGTTGGAATCGACTTGATGGCAGTGGGTTTTTGGTTTGGGTGGCGCAGCGGGTAAGCACTTGGATGCTAACTGAAAGGTCGGTGGTTCGAACCCATCAGCTGATCCACAGTAGAAAGATGTGGCAGGCTGCTTCCGTAAATATTACAGCCTAGGAAACTATGGGGCAGTTCCACTCTCTCCTATAGGATGGCTGTGAGTTGGAATCAACTCGACAGCAACGGGTTGGTTTTTTGGTTTTTGACCAGGTACTGCAAAGAATTCAATCCTGCTGTTTGTGGGAGTATGAATACCCTGGCTCCCTTGCCTCCCAGGGACTCCTTGAGTGGTACAAGTGATTAACACACTCAGCTGCTAACCTAAAGGTTGGAGGTTCGAGTCCACCCAGAGGTGCCCCAGAAGAAAGACCTGGAGATCTACTTCCAAAACATCAGCCACTGAAAATCCTACAAAGCGCAGTTCTACTCTGACACACATGGGGTCGCCACGAGTGGGAGTCCACATGATGGCAAATTTTTTTGTTTTAAGGAAACTAATACACAGGGTTAAAGTCAAGGTCTTGATTGCCCATCTTACTCTGCCCTTTAGTAGGAGGTTTGGTGTATTGTGGCTGACAGCTGTCTCTCCACACGAATGTGTTTGGGGGAGGAACATTACCCCAAAGGGAAGGGCTGTAACCAGAAGAAGGAAGGAACTGGGGCAAAGAAAAATTACTGACATCTGATAACACCCTAATTGCACCAAGCAGGAACTGAGAAGCTTAGTGGAGAGGATCTGCTGGATCAAAGTCTAGGGCTACTATGTGACCAACTCAAGATTAGAATCCAGTCTTCCTTTTTACAGTCTGGTATGTTTGATTAAAAACCAAAAAAAAAAAAAAAACACCCATCATTGTCAAGTTGATTCCAACTCATAGCAACCGTATAGGACAGAGCAGAACTGCTCCATAGGGTTTCCAAAGCTATAAATCTTTCCAGAAGCAGAGAGTCACATCTTTCTCCCTCGGAGGGTCTGGTGGGTTCAAACCACTGACCTTTCAGTTAGCAGCCCAGCACTTAACCACCGTACCACAGCAGCTCCTTATGTTTGATTACACTATGTTCAAGTTGAGGGTGGTTAAAATCTGTCTACAAACGTGACTGGCCAGGAAATTCCCCTCATATCCATCAACCTCAGAGACAGCACTTCTTTATATGCTTCATACCCAAACTCAGAGCTTCATGTCCTGTACATCTTTAAATCCTGCCCTCCTAATATTCTAATCATTGGAGAAGGACATCATGCTTGGTAAAGTAGAGGGTCAGTGAAAAAGAGGGAGACCCTCAATGAAATGGATTGATACAGTGGCTGCAACAATGGGCTCAAACATAGCTATGATTGTTAAGAATGTAGCAGGATCAGATAACCTTTTCGTTCTGTTATATATAGGGTCACTATGAGTCAGAGCCGACTTGAAAGCACCTAACAGTAACAAGAATATTTCGATGGAATATTTATGGCAAGACTGTGGTATTTGGAGGATACAGACTTGGAGATCCCATCGCAGTAGCACGTCTCAACTGCCTAAACCGTGTGTCATGGCAGATCTTTGAATCTCTGATTTTTTTGGTCTCTGATGTGTGAGTCACAGAATTTATGCACGTGAAGCTCACAGACTCTGACACATACTGTTGTTGTTAGCTGCTGTCGAGTCGGCCCCTGGCTAATGGTGACCCCATGCACAATGGAACTAAACGCTGCCTTGCCCTGAGTCATCCCCGTGATTGGTTGTGAATCAGACTGTTGTGATCCCTAGGGTTTTCATGGGCTGATTTTCAGAAATAGATTGCCAGGCCTTTCTTCCTATCCCTCTTAGTCTGGAAGCTCCACTGAAACCTGTTGAGCATCATAGCAACACAAAAGCCTCCACCGATAGATAGATAGATGGTGGCTGTGCATGAGGGGCATTGGCCAGGAATGGAACCTAGGTCTCCCACAAGAAAGGTGAGAATTCTCCCACTGAACCACCACTGTCCCCATGCTCTGACACATAGTACATAACTAATACATGGAAGCCATCATTTCTGTACTTGCCATGTTGCCCACTTAATGCATGCATTTCCTCACCAATACAAACCCATTTGTCCTAGTCCTGGCGACTCACCAAGGCAAAGCAGGGATAGGAATTCTGTGAGCATTGTATCCCTTATGAATCAAAATCCTGTCTTCAGCTTTGTGGATCAAAGGAAGAAGCAGGGCTGGGGCAATCGTGGCTCTCTTCCTGCCCAATTTGTCTCCAGGATGTGTGGGTAGAAGTTTAGCTCCAACCTCTTGGATCTCTGCACTGCCTGGTGCACAGTTTCCTCCTCACAACTGACTCAGGAAACAAGAAGTCATCAATGACGACATCTTCCCCCAGCACGCGAACCTCAGTGTGTGTGACTCCACCTACCCTGACTTCTGTCCTGCCTTATCTGAAGTCCTGCCCAAGACATCGTTTGAAAAACAATTTTTATTTTGAAATAGTCGGTGTTGTTAGTTGCTATCAAGTCTACTACTCCAACTCATGGTGACCCCCTGTGTGCAGAGTGGAGCTGTGCTCCATAGGATTTGCAAGGCTGTGACCTTTTGGAAGCAGATGGCCAGGCCTTTCTTCTGAGGCATTTCTGGGTGGGTTTAAACCACCAAACTTTCAGCTAGCAATCGAGTGTTTGACGATTTGTGCTACCCAGGGACTCACAAGAAGTTGTAAAAACAGTATGGAGAGATCCTGTGTACCCATCCCCCAGCTTCCCCCAGTGAGAACATCTTACCTAACTATAGTGCATTACCGAAACCAGGAAATTAACACTGGCACAATGCCATGAACTAGACCACAGGTCTTACTCAGATTTTACCAGTTTCTGCACGCATTCTTTTCTTTTGGTATGTCTATGTGTGCATTTCCCTCGGTGGCACAAACAGTTAAGCACTCAGCTAATAACTGAAAGAGTAGCTGTTAGAATTCATCCAGGCAGCACCTCGAAGGAAAGGCCTGGCGATCTACCTCCAAAAGATCACAGCTGTTGAAAACTCTATTGACAGAGAAACTCAAAAAAGGAGGGAGAGAACAGTTGTACAACTTGAAGACCGTAATCAGGGTCATTGAATTGTACGTATAGAAACTGTTGAAGCTGGTGTATGTTTTGCTGTCTGTATTCTCAACAATAACAACAATAAAAGAAAATAAATTATTAAAAAAAAAAAACCCATACAGCACAGTTCTACTCTGACACACATGGAGTCTCCATGAGTCAGGATCTACTTGAAGGCCACTAACAACATCAAGAAAACAAAGATATACACACACACATGCATATATATTGTTGTTAGTTGCTGTTGAGCCGGTCCTCACTCATGGCGACCTTATGTATAAACAGAACAAACTGTTGCCCAGTCTTGCACCATCTTCATGATTGTTGGTATGTTTGAGTCCATTGTGATGGCTATTATATCAATCCATCTCATGGAGGGTTTCCCCCATTTTCATTGACCCTCCACTCTACCAACCATGATGTCTTTTTCTAGCAATTAGTCTTTCCTAATCATATGTCCAAAATAAGCCAAAGTCTCACTATCCTCACTTCTAAGGAGCATTCCAGTTGTATTTCTTTTAAGACTAATTTGTTTGTTCCTTTGGCAGTCCACGGTGTATACAGATATAGAGATAGAGATACATAGATACTTCCTTTCTTCCTCCCACCAGGTTGACTCCACCCAAATACCACATCACAATGACCACATTCATTTTTATTTTTATTTTATTTTTACTGCACTTTAGATGAAGGTTTACAGAACAAACAGTTTCTCATTAAACAGTCAGTACACAGATTGTTTTATGACATTGGTTAACAACCCCACGACATGTCAACACTCTCCCTTCTCAAACTTGGAGGACTTTTTTAATTTTTTTGATGAAAAGATACATAGACAAAGATACAGCATTTCAAAAATTTCTACATGTACAATTCAGTGACCTTGATTACATTCTTCCAGTTGTGCTGCTATTCTTACTATCCTTTTCCAAATTATTCCATCACCATTATCTTCAACTCACTGTCTCCTGGGCTTCCCATCAAACCTTTTGAGTTGCTGTTGTCAATTTGATCTCAAATAGATAATTCTTTCTTTTTTTTGTACTTTAGATGAAGGTTTACACAACAAATCGTTTCTCATTGAACAGTTAGTACTCATATTGCCCTATGACAATGATTAACAACCCCATGACATGTCAACACTGTCCCTTCTCAACCTTGGGTTCCCTATCACCAGCTTTCCTGTTCCCTCCTGCCTTCTAGTCCTTGTGCCTGCACTGCTGTGCCTCATTAGTCTTGTTTTATATTATGGGGCCGTCCAATCCCCGGCTGAATGTGAACCTTGGGAGTGACTTCTCCGATGAGCTAAAAAGGTGTCCGGAGACCATATTCTCAGGGTTTCTCCAGTCTCTGTCAGACCAGTAAATCTGGTGATTTTTGTGAGTTAGAATTTTGTTCTACATCCTTCTCCAGCTCTGTCCAGGACCCTCTGTTGTCATCCCGGTCAGAGCAGTCAGTGGTGGTAGCCGAGCACCATCTAGCTGTACTGGACTCATTCTGGTGGAGGCCTTGGTAGCTGTGGTCCATTAGTCCTTTGGACTAATCTTTTCCTTGTATCCTGTTCTCTTCATTCTCC